TCACTCTTCTCTCAATACCGGGAAAAGTCTTCAACAGGGTATTGTTAAACAGGATGAAGGACTGAGTAGACGCCCAACTTCGTGACCAACAGGCAGGATTCCGTAAGGATAGATCGTGTACAGACCAAATCGCAACTCTACTGATCATTGTGGAATAATCAATTGAATGGACTTCATCCCCCTACATTAACTTCATCGACTACAAGAAGGCATTTGATAGCGTGGACAGAACAACACTATGGAAGCTTCTTCGACACTACGGCGTGCCTCAAAGATAGTCAATATCATACAGAACGCATATGATGGATTACACTGCAAAATCGTGCATGGAGGACAGTTGACAAAGTCGTTCGAAGTGAAGACCGGTGTCAGGCAAGGTTGCTTACTCTCACCCTTTCTCTTTCTCCTGGTGATCGACTGGATCATGAAGACGTCAACGTCTGAAGGAAAGCGCGGGATACAATGGACATCTAAGATGCAGTTGGATGATCTAGACTTTGCAAACGATCTGGCCCTTCTATCCCACACGCAACAACAGATGCAGGAGAAGACAAACAGTGTGGCAGCACCCTGAGCAGCAGTAGGTCTCAACATACACAAAGGGAAAAGCAGGATTCTCCGATACAACACAGAATGCACTAATCCAATCACAATTGACGGAGAAGATTTGGAAGATGTAAAAACCTTTACGTATTTGGGCAGCATCATTGATGAACAGGGTGGATCTGATGCAGATGTGAAGGCGCGGATCGGAAAAGCAAGAGCAGCATATTTACAACTGAAGAACATCTGGAGCTCAAAGCAACTGTCAACCAACACCAAGGTCAGGATTTTCAATACAAATGTCAAGACAGTTCTACTGTATGGAGCAGAAGCCTGGAGAACTACAAAAGCCATCATCCAGAAAATACAGGTGTTTATTAACAATTGTCTACGCAAAATACTTCAGATCCATTGGCCGGACACTATTAGCAACAACGTACTGTGGGAGAGAACAAACCAGATCCCAGCGGAAGAAGAAATCAGGAAGAAGCGCTGGAAGTGGATAGGACACACATTGAGGAAAGCACCCAACTGCGTCACAAGATAAGCCCTCACATGGAATCCTGAAGGTCAAAGGAAAAGAGGAAGACCAAAGAACACATTACGCCGAGAAATGGAGATAGACATGAGAAAACTGAACAAGAATTGAATGGAACTAGAAAAGAAGGCCCAGGACAGAGTGGGTTGGAGAATGCCGGTCGGTGGCCTATGCTCCATTGGGAGTAATAGGCGTAAGTAAGTAAGTAAGTAAGTACCTTGATTTGACCATTCTTATAGGTTTTGTTGTTCACTTATCTTTTAACAGGTATAGATCATCAAGGTAGATGTGGTTATGAATGCGTAACACGACTGATCAATATCAGTTAGTGGAGGTCCACTGCTTAGTCTATTGCTAGCAATATACTAGTAAGCATGTTCTTGTAACCTAGACATTTCTTCTACAAACGCATCACAACTCAAACTTTGGGTGTAAAAGATAGAGTCGTCGTATAATAGATTCACTTGTTAATAAACAGCTGAACATTTCTCTGGTGCGACGAGTGATTCAAGTTAGACAAATCTCTCTTATCTGTGTCAGCTACCAAGATACTATTCCAGGTGAAGCTTCCAAAATATGTGGTCAGCGTTAGTTAAGTATCGACGTTGAGCATTTGTTGGAAATCCACCGCAAACATTCCCACATTGTCCTCTATGGTTTTCAGAAGACTGAGTTTTCTTAGCCACTAACTGTTACTTCACACTGATCTATAGAGAAAATATGGTTTACTCAAAATATGGCAATAAATCTGAGCACAAGGCACATATAATAATCAGTATTCATATAATATTACATTAAATTTGTCGTCAGAATACCACAAACAAGATAGTTACCAGATTTAAATAATCATTGCTTACTCATAAGAAAAAAGCATTTACAGACCTACATGCTTAGGGATGATAAGGTAATTTCGTGATTCTGCAATGCTTGCCTCTTTTAGATGTAATGAATGAATTACCAAAAGTCAAAAGAAAACTGAAGGATGATGATACAGAGTAAAATGTGTAAGTATATCGAAAGGAATTTGAGGTTTTTGAAAATTTATGAATGCGTTACCAAGCTCTAGATCCAACTTAGCATTTGGAAAGTTAAAATACCGACTTAGAAAAATCCTTTGCTAGATTGACTACAGTTGAATTTTTTTAAGGAACACAAAATCTTAAAACATCACCGTTATTGAAGTTTTGGGATTATTATGGTTAATTATTATTTAGTCTATAGATCTTGTGTGATTATACACATTAGGAACTTACTGAAAATTAACAGTAACATTTCTACTCTGGAGCTTTACAAACCAAATCTTGTTAGCAGGGATACCATCAAGCTGTAGCACAAACTAAATAGATTGAAATAATTCAAAGTGAAGTTCTGAAAACCACTCATTTATATTTTTGATAAACAAGGTGTTTAAATTGTATAAGCCTAACATTATGAACGAAAAAGGATTTATTTTATAAGTGTAATAGTAAAACAACATCATTTAAACTGAGATCGTTAGGTATACATTAATCAAGATTACCTGCATATATTTATAGTCTCTTCAACGAGTGAACAATCAACGTTATTGGAACCAGATGTAGTGATTTTGTCAACCAAAAGCTGTAAGCGAGTTGTACCAATTTCCTTTTCTTTTGGTGCTTTTGACATTTAACCTGGAGATAAATACGCATAACAGTTTGAATTGTCAAAAACCTTAGCAACACTTAATTGAAATGCTTTTAGAGAGAAAATATCTATAGAAACACCGAAATGATAACCTATACCTCTCACAAAATGTGACAATATTCTCCGAAGTAGATTAAATTAAGTCCATTTTGTCCAAATGTAAGTGATTTAAGGGAATGTGTTAACGCTTAAAAGCAAAACAGCCAGTGACTCTATATAGTGACGACATAATCTTGGTTGATTTTCAGATCGTTTTCCACTTTATTGTCAGCCAGAATTACTAGTTATCAAGTGTGCAGTGAACGAGAATTCAAGTGAGGATAACCAATTTATTCGTTAACACAAAATTACCAAGTTCTTTCGTAAAATGTGAAAATCATACATTAAATGCTTCACTCGCAAATCTTCCATCAATCGTCCTCTACATACTTCATGATTTTTCCAATTCACAATTTCTTTCTGTTTTTTTCAGTGCAATCTTCTCAACCCTCTTTTGACAGTCATTCAAACTCGGATTGGTGCTACATACTACTTATGTCGACAGACACAAATAGCATACACCACAAATGTAAGCGGATAAAAGAAATGAAAACCTCATTTATTTCACTGGATTCAGTATGACACCTTAAGCGATAACCATCGAAGTATTTCATAACTTTACTCTATAATGATACATCTAACTTCGGAAAGCCTTAGAACCTGGTTACTTCAAATGAGCAGCTGATGTTTAGTACGGCTATCATTCAGTCAGTCAGTAACAACGTAGAACTTCGTACGTACGTACATCAGTTAAAGTTGCCACACCACATTAGCACAGAGATGCAGATGTCGATTCAAATCTCATAGTGGTAGAGGTAGTAAAAGTATAACCAATAATCGGAAAGATTAGGGTTTGAAGATGTTATTCAAGGAGTATAATCCACCCTGTGGGCGTGGGTTCGAATACCACTCCTGACACTAAACTTAGCCCCCAAATGCCTTGGTACGGCCGAGAGTGGGGAGAGTCCGCTCTCCCTCTCGAAATGCTCTCACATGGCCACGCATACATAGCCTCTGCCAGGGAAGTCCTACTCACTGCCTTGTAGCGGGGGTGTTGTTTACGAAAATGAGAGGACGAAAAGCGAATGTCCGGCGCTTTAACCGGATTCAAAACCAATGGTGCACATAGGCTCCAGTATCCTGTGGGAACAAATGGCGTATGAACCAATTGCTGGTCACCGGCTTCCATGGGACTGCATCTCCTTACGATGCTCCACTGCCTTGTAGATCAGACCATTAGGTCGAAGGCTCGGGGAGTGGCCCCGTATAAAAACCACCTGCTTCGGTTTGGGCACCCGGGCAGTATCACAGCCCTCACACATCGAATGAGATTTGTGTGGAGCATATGTATTTGGTGCCTCCTTGTACCAATATCTATGTGTTAAAATAAATAAATAATCCAGTGAAATAAATTTGGGAAGAGGAAAAAAGGGACATGAAGAATTCAGATTAGAATTTGCGAGAACACAAAAGGTAGATGCACCTGTGCCATTGCAAACAACTTTGAGCCATGTCGTTCAAGGTCTCTAACCATCGGTTGCTATCATATCGCTGATACTAACCAGCTAGTCTACACCTACCAACGTGGATCAGTCCACTTGTCAGTGACTTCATAGACTTGTGCTATGTTTTGGTCTGGCCGCCACTAGCTTCCTTCCAACTTACTCCTATACCATTGAACATCGCACGTCGAGGCAGTTGGGCATACGTAACACGTGTCCCAGCCATCTCAACTGATGAAGTTTCACTACTTCATCAATTGATTTGCAATCCTTACCTAGTACCCGTTTCCTGACAATTGCATTACTTACACGATGGTCCCAGGATATACGAGCAATGCTTAGAAGACACCTGTGGTCGAATACTAGTAACCTACGAATATCCTCTACTCTTACTGGCCATGCTTCACTTCCATAAAGTAGGACAGAACAAACTGCTGCGCAGTAAACACGTCCTTCGGTTGATAGACGGATATCTTGCCTACGCCATAAATGACGCAAGTTGGCAAAAGCTAGTCGAGCCTTCTGTATTCGTGCTGAGATTTCGTCACACACCAGACCACAAGGGCTGATGAGACTCCCAAGATAAGTCAAGCGACGGTTATCATTAGTCTTATGATATCAATAACTCTAAAGTGACAATTCACACAACCACACTAGCAAAAGTGAATGAAAGAACAAGATGGTGAAAGCATATATATATATTTGGAGTTATCTCATTGTTTGTTTGTTGGTTCACATTTATTCGTTGAACTAGAGTCGCCCTGTAAGTATATTAAATGGATTAACCGAACAAGATGTTAGTACTTACGGATTTTCCCAACCATTCATCATTATAAGCGCTAAAATCAGGTGACTCAACAAAAGGAAAACAAAATCTGAAAAGGAATTCATGGAATAACAATTACATAAAATTACTCTCCAATTTTCATAAGCTGACCATAACGACCGACATTCAAATTTAAACAGCCACCCCTTACAGTAGTGTTACCCTGAACTAGCTGTAAAACATCACATGGAGCAATTAATGAACTATTCTCATTCCAAACAGATATATTAATCGTTCCTGTGCGATCAGCGACCTTCGCGGTCCGAACTTCATTGCCATCTTTTGTACGCGTGATAGGACCTTGTGACATAGTATGAATTGTAGTTTAAACAAGCAACAAACCCAGCTCCAAAACTATAAAAACACATGATACACGTTTCATGTTGGGTTTCAGATCTTTTAAAAAATATGACTGGTCTTTAGTTTCACCCATGTACCGGCATGTAATGAACAATAGTTTAAAATTCTGTAAAAATAAAATTGAAAAAACGTACGTGGAATATATTGGGTATAACAAGATAAGTAAAAAGACTGATATACTATAACCCCAAACTAAAATTGACAGCTATTATTTCGAAAATGCCCTAGTAGGTTGATTTCACGTTCTCTCTCTATTATTTAAATGACAACAGGAATGATGCAGCTGTGATGAAGGTAATTTGTCTACCCGATGTTCTCAGAGCCCATCAAAACGACATTACCTAAAGCGGTTGATATTAACAGCGTCAATAAACTAATATTTTTACTAAAATTTCCACAGGTTGCTAACAACCTACAACTTTCATTATAAAATGAAACGAGGTCAGATCATATCAGGATAATTTGTGAAATTCATTCCCTTCTACACTTTTTTTAACGATGCATGAAACATCACCTTTTAGATGAACGTAGATAAGTGCATGAATTATATCCTTATTTCAGGTGCAGAAATCCTTGAGGCCAGAGTAATACACAGTTAATACATCTTGGAAAAGGTTGTTTTACTCCGTTGATTCCCTCTCGCGTTGTGTAACTGTGATACAACTTATCTATAACCCTGATAACATCCACATATTGTATAACTGAGAACACAAGTTTGGTGTGATTCACGACACGGTTTCGATATACAATCGCTATAACTATTTTGACTTGGTAGGAGTCCATAATAGTGAGTTTTTAATTTAATACAATTCGGTAACAAAGGACATGTTCGTGTACATGAGTATGAACATTCGTTGTGTGGGAGTACGTGATACTAGTAGATTGTGTAAATAGGTGGGTTTCAAACAGAGTCGTGTCTTGATCACTATCCTACTTTTTCAGAGCTCGGAAGTATCACTTCCAACCTTGTTTTATCTTGCTACTGCCAACTTGATTTCGCCCACTGCACTTACATCTATAAATCCTAGATTTCCAGATAATATATGACTTTATGAATAAATTATTTATTTTGTCAACGAAAACCTCGCTCAATTATCAGGTTAGTAGTTTAATAATGCATAAAGTGTTTGATAGGGGATTTATGCCAATTAAAGACCTATTCATCCTCCGCAGATTGATGGTGGGTATCTTTAATGTACCCCCAAGCTATTAAGATAAGAGTGGCAGTTTGCGTAAAAGTGATTAGAAGTTAGATCAATACCATTTTTTAATACAGCCGCTAAGTACACGTTTGTTTACTTGAACCTGAAGTATGCTTTATGAGTGCTGGCTAGTGATATCCTTCGGTTGCCCAGACTAAAATAAACCTAAATGCTCGAACTTGCAACTTGGTATTCTTGGATCTTGGCTAGCAGCGGATTGCACAACATACGTTTCGTCCTATTCGGATTTATGAGTGCCTACAAAAACACAAATTTCAATCCTGAACATTAACAATGGGATAATAAAAACCTTAACTTTAGTTAAAAGTTGAGTTTTGTGACATCTGCGAGGTTTGAAAGCAGTTACGACCATTTAATATACAGTCTCAAAGAAATCTGGAATCAGACTCAGGGCTTTAAACAAACCCTCAGTCATCTTTCAGTATTCCAATTAAAAGCATGATAGACAAAGACATAAGTATTCATGGATGCGAAATAACTGAAGGAATGACGTTACAGAAGATAAATCTAGATTATTAATTTGAGATTTAAGCCTTTAGTATGAGTTCTGAACCTACTTCAAAGAAACCATAATATAAAAAAGCGGAACATTTTGTAATCAGTTATGCAAGTTATCTAATCATTTAATGGGGAAAGATCAGCTAATATTTAGGGAATAAAACGTGTGACCCCAAAGTGAAGTTGTACCACTTATAATAATAAAAGGTCAGCTATCTTACCAGTGTCAAAATAATTAAATTCCAGTCCTATCGACGGACATTAAGAAGACCAAATCATTTTAGAGATGTCTTAGTGACTACGAAATGCTTTATTTTGTTGGCCGAGAACGGGTCTTCATGCAGGAATGCGGGAATCACTATATCAAATTTCACACCACCAACAATTTGCAGTACAAACACAATCGATGTCGTATGCAGACGGGAACAAACAAAACACCATTTTTAAATATCATGAAGGACAAATTATGTGTGGACATTTGCGAACGCAACTGTTGGGAAAATAACAACTGCAAAAATTCTTTTACAGCGTGTGAATGTATTACTTCGTCTGTTTCATCATTGAGTACTTTTTCTAATTGAAAACAGAATTTCTTTTAGACAGTTACTGAACCATATACGGACATCCAGAATGCAGTCAGTCATTATTAACGTAGGATCTGGAACGAATGTACTCATCTGATGTCATGCCACACGCCAGCGAAGCGAGAAAGGAAATAAATAGGATGAGAGATAGGATGGGAAACAATATCCACTATAATGGCGATCTTAACATGCGAAATACAGAACGAGGAAAAATGGAATCGGGGAATGGAGATTCAGGAATGAAAGTGAACTCAATATTTAGATAGAGATGGAGACTAAATAACACTACGTCATTGTGACCGATTTAGAACCACGTCACTTAAAGTTTCTAATCATTTATTGAGTACTGGGTGGGCCTAGAACTGGAAGTCCATGGCTACCCAAATGATTTATACTGGCATTAAGTGAATCGTTGTTATATCTCAGTCTACTTATTCACTAATTTTCCCCAACCTACTTCAGACATTTCTTTTCTAGATAGTGGTGGTTGGATATGCGTAACCGGTGAAGGCTCGAAGTTTAATAACCAATTCAACTTTCTAATTTAATACTTTACACCTAAGCACGGCACTACTCAGTTGACAGTTCGGTCATATCCGAGCTACATTGTTAACAGGTCTATGATCAAATAACTGCAGTTTACCCGTCATTTATTTCCACGAGTCATTTAACAGCTGCAGGTTAATGCAAAATGGATGATCTTACAGCAGATTCACTCTTTATTTGGTAAACGCAAACAGTGGGATAAATTTCCAAAAAAAAACCTAGTGTATCCATGCTAGTGTGTACCTTATATGTACAGTGAACGAGATCAGATGACTTTTTGCCTCGTAATCGATCAGAAAAGAGCGACTCATGGAGGTATGAACATCGACTAATTACCAATGTTGTCCTGAATGTATTTTAATAGAGCCCAACAAATGAAAATCTGCAAACTGGGTTAACCTATTCGAGCAACGATTAACTTAGCCAACGGAATAGAGACAGAAAGCCCGTTAAAAATGTCTATGGATTTGAAAAAAATTAGTCCAGTCAAGGGCTTGAAATTCCACATAAGGGTCAAGAAGTGCATGCACAGTCTAGAGTCAGTAAATATGTCAGTATGTATGTTCCAGAACCTGACGAAAGGTGGATAATTTACTGACATCTATACGGCCTAATGTTCATAAAACGCTTGACTGAAGGTCACGGACGGCTAATCCACAGAAACCAGTTTGGTATTGAATTTATGCGGAGGTACTGTTGATATTTGAAGCAGACAGACTTACCGACTCCAGACGCTTAGCAGTTAAAATGACTTGAGTGGTTAACTAGTAATATTATAATAACGTTATTACTATTTTACCATAAACTAATACAGTCAATGACATGAGCCATTTAACTGTAATGGGATGGTTTGATAAAAAAAAACTATGGTTCTACTATAGTACACTATATAATTATATAGTATGTATATAATAATATACACATTTGTGGAAAGTTCATTGCGTAGAGAATGACAGATTAAAAAGGATGCTTGCGAAAATATGCAGGTTGAATTGTGTGAAGTAACAAAGTTGTTATCATCATTAAATCACTAAGCATGATAAACACAACCACACACAAAACTCAGGCCAAACCTCAGCCAAGCGCTGAAGATCTACATACTATATTTCCGCCATTCAATATCCAATTCCTCCGTGACGAACTTGGATAAACAGACTGATTCTTTTGAGCTCGCTCCCTGATATCATAGTACAGTTACGATTGTTTGATATTGTACACTGTGGGTGATCTAGCCACCTCGTTTTAATGTTACTAGAATTTTTTAAAGTTATTCTGGGCTTGATATTCATTCAGTGCGTTTGTTCGAAGTAGATGGAGGTATTAGAACAATGAGCTGTCAAATTAATGGGTGTGATATTGACTTTTCTCAACACAATGGAATACAACTTAGTGTTTAGAATGTAGAAAAGTGGGTAATATTCAGTAAGAATAAATAAGAAATTTGCGCAGACTGTGAAACATTGAGTATATTGTTTTCTTTCACCTTTGCTAGAATTTGTGTAACAAATTATATTTCAACATTGTCACCGAAAACACGTGTAATCTATCTGGATGTCGTTTCGCTATTACCTGTGGTATGTAGTGTCACAAATTCAAAGGTTTAAAGATGCCACATGTATTCGAGTTTGACATCTAAATCAGTAACACTTTTTACAATAAAAACGTGCCGACCCAATGAAATCGGAAGCCAGAAGCGAAGGGGTTCGAAGATATATTTGATAGAATACCGATTTATAGAGAAGTGACTGATCTAAGCTGGCTAGCGGTTGTGGAAATTAAGCACGGTGTCCCCATCCGTGATCTAGTGCATATACTTGACCGAGCACCTTCAGCTAGGTGAGTCCATGAAAACCAATATGGTCAGCATAAAATATCGAGGACTTGAAGAGCTATTAATTTTGACTGGTCTTGACTGGTCTACAAAAAAATTCTCAGCGTCCTGTAGAAGACAATCCTGATGCGGATGAACAAACAATGACGCGCAGTGATGCGAATTAGAGTCTGTAGAATTATGATCTGATTAGCTATTAGTACTATTATAACAGTTAATCTAGTCCTAAAATTGCGAATTCGTCATGATGTGACTACCTTATCCTAAGATCTTATGTGGAAGTCATATCATTATCTACATTCACTCATTCTATCGTAAGAATCATCAATATGACTTGACCTACTTCTGTAGAACACATTTAGGCTGGAAATAGAACAATATATTTATCATG